ACCTTTTATTGTTTAGAAGCTACCAATGTAGATATAAAAAAAGCCCAAATGTATCCTATAAAAATTATTCATGGAGGTGTGGATTGGTCTCAAATTTTGGAGCACTTTCTCAGAGTGCCACGAAGACAGKTTTTTTCACTCTGAAAAACAACAAGGCAGGATAGGAAAGAAGAAAAAAAAAAATCTAGGATAAGGACACTCTGCAATAACTGAAGGGAGCAGGGAGCAATGAAAGTCTCATATACAAATGCCAAGGATTCTACAACTCCCATGGTGATCCTGGCAGTAAGCCAGGAAAAAGTTTTTTCTTTCCTTTGCTGTTTGCAGCAACAAATCTTTCCTCTGGGGGAGGGGTGAGAGGGTTGGAACTAACTTCACATCATCTGATAAGATGGCAAATTGTCCAGGCCTGACATTTATGGGGGACCCAGAGCTTCACTGAAGCACTCTGGGAGGATTAAAGCAGGGTTAGGCTCTGCAGTYGCACTCCTTAAAATGCTACAAATGGCAGACAGATGAAAGTTCGCTCAAATTTGATAATGATGATTCTAAAGAACCCAGAGACAGAAGCTGTCCCCTGTCAGGGAAAGAACTGCAGCTGTAAGTTTAATATTCTCATTAAAAGGACTTGTAAAAACCTAAGTATGCTCAAAAAGCATCCAGTGTCCAGATATCAAAATGAATTTCTGTTTAATTGGTTAACAAGAACTAAATCCCATCTCTTTCATGTAAGCTGCACCACCCACAGGAAAACTCCACCACCCATTTGCTTTAACTCTATCCAAGACCATTTCACTGCAAGAATGGGATGTTTCACACGCTGGCAGTGATTGCTTGGAGCCAGCAGAAAGGCTCATATAGCTGTCAGCAAGCTGATAAGAGTTGAAATTACTCTACAGAGCCCTCTTTAAAGAAGAGCCAAAGAAGCACATTAAATGAAAGGGAGGAGGGTCAGAAAAGCCAGCCACTCATGTTRTTTTAACGTGGCACTAAAACAAGTCACTGATTTATGCTTGTGTCTTCAGCTCCGTTTGACCTGGAGTCTGAACTTTTCTTCAGGTCAGGGCTGAGGCACATGAGATGGGCACAAGCAAAACCACAACAGCTTGTCCAGGTATTCTGAATGTGGGAACAAACACTGCAAACTACATGTTTTCTATCCACATTTTTTTTACACTGAATTTACATCCTTTTTTATCCTGTAATTGTCCACACAGGCTAAAACCACAAGAGACTGTGATTATCTAAAACTTCAATTAATGAAAAGAAAGAATGGTATGTGGCAACTATTTAAAAGAGTACCTTGTGGGGCTTCAGGAAAATGAATTACACATTCATCCGAAGAAGGAAACTATACATCACTTTCAGCTGAGGAAAACTTCCATACTAGTTAAAGACATTTATATATCAACTACTAGTGCTGAAACACATTTCCAAAGACTAACAGGATTTCAAAACAAAACCTTAGAAAAAAAAGGGAAAGTATAAAAGGCATGGGACAAGGTGATACGAGCAAAGTTCTGTTTTGCTTTTTTTTCTTTACCTATTTCACACTTCAGAAGCAAGACAAAACTTCAAATTTTACTCTCTATCATACAGGTCTATTGTATTCACTTCTACTTCTTTCCCTCCAGTTCTAGAGCTTTGCTATTACCTGAGTGCTGGTTAGAGGTGCAAAGAAAATGAAAGCATATGGATGCAGCTTCAAGTCTGTTGGTTCAGTAGCTGTGCAGCTAAGCTGCTCATCAACTTGCCTCTGGGCACTTTTGCCAGTGTTTTAGAGTCCATATGGAACTATTTGTGAGAGGGGGATGGTTCAAGGAAGCTTCAAAGAAAATGAGAATGACAACATTACTGTAGAAAACAGACAAGACACAAATCCCAGGGATACGTAAGTTTCATCCAGACTTCTRTTAATTTTAGCAGCTCACTTAGCAGAGGCTGGTTTTGATGGTCAAAACRTGGCCGTTTGCAGCCATCATTTGTGAGTATCAGTTTTCAGGAACACAGGCTGTACATGTAGTATTGAAAATATGTAACTATTTTTTACAACAGTGTAGACTAGGCTACAACCACCAAAACTACTCCCTTTTGTGAAGAAAAACAGGAAACTGGACCAGAATTGTTGAGAGCAAACYGCTCCGCACGTTTCAACAATAAAAGCCTAAGTTACCATAGCTGATCTCCAGAGACCTCAGTGCAATTAGGTATTTATGTAGGACAGTAGAATTAATTTTGATTTCTCACACTCAAATTCTGCTCAAACCAATGAATCTCTTTCCTAGTTTATACCACGTACTGTCTGATAAAAAACTGAGCAAAATAAAATTGTGTCGAAGGAAATCACAGCTCAGGTCATACCAGACACAGATCCTAGCAGATGATGTCTCCAAAACTAAAATACCTGTATTTTTATCCTCTTCATGACAGTGTTACATCCATGATAAGTACATAAACTGTAAGAAAACACTTACAAATATGAGTTCTTACATAACTTAAATGTAATGACTTCTCTTTAAGAGATTTCCTCTCTTCCCCAGTTGATATACAGCGAGAAATATCTCCAGAAACAAAACAAAAAAGTATGGAGAAAATTTTACCCATTAAAAGCAGACAACCTATTTCAACTTGAAAAAAATTATATACAGGCATATGTAGGTATATGTATAYATGTTTATGTCAAAATTTTAACCTTAATGTATGATCTCCAGAGAATCTCCTGTAATAAAATACTGTAAAAAAGTAACTAATCAACAAAGAAAACTGACAAGCTAACATTTGCAATTTTTTATTATTATTATTGTTTTAATTATGATGTATCCCAACTAAGGATAAGAATTATATCATAAGAAAACCACTGAAACCAATGAAGTCAGACAGCAAGGCTCCAATCCCACAAAGGTTATCACACCCAGAAAGTCTGATAGGTATAATGAATCCATACTTCAGCCAGGAGAAATTCAGAGCAAGGATTTGCTCTMTTTGCCTAGAAAAAGATCTCAACTATACATGTCCACTTCCTGGCAGTCCGAACAGTATCAATCACTAACTAATTTTCACTTCTAGATGGCTGGAACACAGAACCACCTATTAGCAAGGGAATTTCAGACACAGGGATTTAGCCTTGTAAGTAAGACTGACAGGACATAAAATGCATGGATAACTTGTTTAAGTATCCTCAATACACAGACAGAAATAAATTCACAAAGATGAAAGACAGGCCTGCTGTTTTCATCCTGTTACTTTTAYTATCGAAACACACATCTATTATCCTCAGCAAAAGTAACAAGATGTGAGAGGAAGCTTTAGAAAAACACACCTTCAGTCAATAGAATCACATCTTCCAATAATATTCCGTGATGTTTTGAATCCAATGAAAATGACTATTGCAAACCATGTATAATCTAACAAAATTCACTCTGAACAGAGACTATATCTGTATTATGAGCATTAAAATATCATCTATTTTAAGTTAATTTTATAGAATTATGGATAATATATATATATATATATATACCAACTGAATTATGGTGTTATTGTTGGTTTCATTATAAGGGTTTAGGGGGTTTGCTTCATTGCTTTCATTTTGTTAGCCTGTTTTTTACAGACTGGAGTTTGATTAATCACAAAGTATGACTTTACACTTTAAAATTAGTGTTGAAGCTGCCCATAAGGTCAAGTGYATTGTCCATAGCTGAAGAACACTACCCTCAAATAATTATATTTTTAATAAAATGGACAACAAGAAAATTAGTGCACACTTTAACAAATTATTAATGTCACTCTTAAAGCTTTATTAGGCAAAACTCCSTAGTGTTAACATCTCTAAAATAAAATCAAATCTCTAGGAGCTGCAACACCAAGTTTACTTTTTCATCTCCTGTTTTTGGTGGCGCTTTGGTGCTGCCAGGAGGCCCCATCAAAATAGTTCATTTGTGTGAAGGCACTAAAGAGAAAGGAGACCCCTGACGGCTGCTGTGGTTTTTGCAGACTCCCAAAACAGAATGAAGTGAAGCTGGCAACAGCATTGAGATGTGAAAGGTATTTACTTCTACATTTGAGAGTATATTTACTCCCCAAATATCACTATTAATATGCACAGTGCAGTTTTCAGCACTGCCTAAGTAGAAATAACTAGCRTTTTAGGCAACACTAAATCACTAAATTCACACAAAAAAAAAATCACGTCTTGGGTCACTTTTTACAAGAACAGTGCAAAAGATGACTCTGTCACTACAGTTGTGTAAGGGAATTTCAGAARCAGGACTTCACAATTCCTCCAGAAATTTCACTACAGAAATCCCATACATCTCAAAAAGCCACCTGAGATCAGATAGTTAACTTTTTCCTTAAATACCTAGGTCTTACTTCCTCTATGATTTTCCCAATGAGGAACTGAGGCAATGATAAGAGTATCTTCTTACCTTAGAACAATACATGCTCAGGTAAAATAAGATGTCAAGGATGAAATACCCTAGATACAAGCATACATTATACATTAATAGCTTTTTTGCTGGCCTGWCAATTAATGGTCTCAGCTACTGCATTCAAATAAGTAAAATCTCTCTCACAGAAGAACTGTCAAATTAGATAAAATATTTAAAATATTTTGGACTTAATGATCCCCTATATTTTAAGTGACTAAAATTTTTCTACAAACCAAAGCTTCTATTGAAATAAACACACTTTTGGATTTCTTTACTACAATATAAATATCATGTAGAAAATGAAACCAATATACACCATGATTTCATCAGAAATGTTACTAGATGTCAGTAGGCAGTACACTTACACTCAAGGAGCTTCCACCCCATTGAAAATTGATGGCAAATGCAAACATTTAGCATAAAGAAAGAACAGGGTCAAATAATCAAAACATCAACATGAGAGTACAGTGGATGTTTCTGCATTCCAACATCTTTCAGAGCAAGGCAGGTGTATGAACCTACACTCCAACTGTAAGTAAAGAAAAATAATTTTAAGACAGTACATTGTTTTACCTGTCTTTGCATCTCTTCAATCTGTCGCTGGGGGATACTTTGCAGAATACTGTACATTTCAGGCATCTTTTCTTCAGGGATGACAACAGAGGCCCTATAAGCAAAAAACAAATGGCAAGATGAGAASAAAGAAATTCTACATTAAATGATGTTGACTGTTTTCCAACCCAGACCCTTGTCCTACTTTAATAAGACATACTCAAAAACCATAAGCAAAAAGAAGCAGTCTTCTCTCAGTGAAACCAAATACTCTGTAGCAGTTCCTTCCCAACACAAGCCAGCCTGCCCAGAGACAATRCCACCAAAGTCTGTAGATTGATCTGTCCAGACAGTCTAATAACTATGGAAGGGACAGAGACCCAGAAATTCTGAATTCTCATCTCTGGATTGCCACTGACTTGCTGTCAGCAGAGATTTTTGGACTGACCAAACAGTAACAGCTATATATACAGTGTTATATATAATTTTTGTATGTATTATCCCAAGATCATGTAACTGGGCATAGTGCATGCATAGAAAAATAATCTAAGCTCCTAACACAATGCACTCAGTTACAAAATAATTTTACCTTTCCATCTCAAATAAACTTGGGAATCATGATGCAATATAGAGAATTAGCATTTCTATGATGCAATATTTAGTATATATTTTCCTTAAAAGAGCCTGAATGGAGATCAGTTCTCACTGAATTCAAGCACAGTAATACAGCAAATCCATTTGAGAAAAAAATATGACTGGCTAAAGGATAATCAAATGCTCTGTCATACCAGTCTCATTTATTTTCCACTCCTATTTTTGATATATAATAGATCAAGGGCAAAGACAACATGCACCTCACTCTGTATTTCATTCCCTGTAACCCCCAGTACAGTACACATCTTATGCAGTGGTTTGATACACAACAGTGAGAGTACAGACCTTTTCCAGTCCAGAACCTCAGAGAAAGGTAAAATGTAAGAGTCAGCAATGATGACTGGGACACAGCCAGCTTGAAGAACATCACTTAGCACAGCCTGTCCCAGGCGAGCTCCACGTAGAACAACACAGAACGTAGATTCCTGTCAACAAATGGTATCCATCACACAGATGAGAAAAAAAAATTAAATATCAGATTTGCAGTGTGTGTGTGTGTGTGTGTGTTTGTGTGTATGAATTGTTTTCCTGCCCTTCCTTTCATTAAAAAAAACTAGTCAAAAGAAAAACCAACTCACTCTGTGCCATCAATAAATTCTGACTTATTAGCTAATTCAAAATAATTATACAACTTTATCTTCCAGAGGCTAGGAAAGTTATCTTAAGTGGAGGGATGAGAAATGAGCTAGTGGGACAATTCTGAGCTTTATTTTAATGGCCAAACTTCAGAATTCAGTTGAGAAAACTCCAGGAAAAAAGGAAATTTAAAACATTTCAAAAGTTTGGCACAACAAGATGAGCAACAATTAATATCAACCTATTTGACTATAAACTGTACAGATCCAACTTAATTTTCTCCTATTATAAGGCAATACAGTTCTATGGATAGCAGGGAAGTRACAGATTTTGTATACCAAGTTTAAAAGTCATTTGACATCTTTGACAGCATTTTCACAGGCAAGTTAAGAAATCAGGGGCTAGATAAAGCCCTCATAGGCTTTACAGTTACAGAACTCCAAGTATGAAATAGTCAGCAGTGTCTCAAAGTAAAACAGTGATGGACCAACTAACCTTTCCTAAGTGCACCAGCATTCAATGTGTCCCTTAGTTAACTGAGTAGCAGAAAYAAGACCATACTTATTAGACTTGACAATACCTATGATTTTATAGGATTAGCAGGTATAATGGATAACAGRATTAGACTTCGACACTATATGCATAAGTCAGCTAAGAAATATTGATATATATAGAAATTCAACACTTGGAGAAAAATACCAAACTGCATAAATATAAAGCATGAAGTTACTGTCTAAGATTTGCACCTTGCAGAAGAGGACAATTTTTACAAAAGAACAGGCAAAGAAAGGGTATTCATGTGACAACAACGCTTAGTTGGAAAAAACAACCACTCCATCCATAGGTAGTATGACAGTGCAAAAAGAAGTACCATTTAAGAATCTGAAGGATTTACTCACTCTTCACAGAAGCAAAAGACCTCAGACAAAGCAAGGTTCAGTCTTGGGCAATGCACTTCCAGTGCTAAGTAAAGAATGATTACCTACCTTGAAGGTGTGATCTACAAGGAATGACTGACTATATCAATGCTACCTATTCTGAAGGAATGAGGGCAGGAGGAAGGGAACTTCAAAGATAWAAAAAGTTGTTGCAAGAATGAATATAATCTACTTACTCATGTCCACAACACACTAGAAAAAATGCCGTGAGTTTAAATTGCAGCAGAGAAGACTTCTTGACTATGTTGCACTCACTCTTTATTTAGGGACTTTAGTTCTCAMTGCCACTGAGTAATCTTGCTACAGATTCAAGATCCCAAAATAAATGCTAGTCGAGTTCAGCTACACAACAGGGAAAAATCCCAAGTCAGTATTATCCCTAAGTCTAAGAAGGAAAAATTATAAAGYTGATAGAGGGGTTCCCACAGATAAGAAAACATTTTTCCAGCTTGTGTTCCATGGCCTGAAGAAAAGGGGCCAGAAGGCTGAGCAGGGCAGAAAAACAKCAAGATGGAATTAGCAAATACAAGGGGGTTTGCTAGCTCTTCATTTTTGCTGGCTCTTATGCAATCATAAGACCTGCATTCATACCCACACAGTACCAACAGCCTCAAAAATCTGATCCAAGAGAAGACTGAAAACAGGAAGCATTAACAACCCAGAAGCCCAAGAGTCTGTCTAGTAAGACATCTGTAAAGGCAGTTTTGCAAAGCATGAAYTGTGATCCAAGTCCCCCTTCCCCCACTCTTAGACAGGAAAAAAAGGAAAAGAAGGGTGTGGGGAATGGAAGGAGTTGAGAGAACRAACACACATTTTAACATCACATAGCAACAGGTGGAAGAGACTCTAGTGATAGAGACAAAAAAAAAAAAAAAAAAGAAGCCCAGATGTGGACACACATGCTCATCTGCCTAGATAACMATTTTTTCCTGTCTAGACAAAGGTTACTATAAATACATCTCCTCACATCACCACTGTTATCAGCCAGACATTCCAAAGAGAAATGCAGGGTTCTGCAAAAGAAAGTATTTTAGCAATCTCGGCATATGCCAGCTCTCTACTGAGTTACAAAATCATATATAGCAGGATATAGATATAGATTCTCTGACTTGCTATCATTTAGCAATCCAGTCTGTATTTAAAGAAATAAAACAAACATTTTTTTTTTAATTCAAAGTTTAGGACTCATGGTGACCCTTTCCTCCCTCTCCTCSTCCTCCACAAGGAATTTTAAACATATTTCCTACAAAACATAACAGGAGGGGTGGAAACTTTGCCTTTCCTAAGCTTGTTTGTTATTTTACCATCATTTGCTGAAGTTCAAAGACAGATTATAWGCTGGTGGCCGCAGACAGCACAGTGGCCTATGGCATAACTCCACCACACTGCATGCCAAAGCACCTCTCTGTCAGTGAATTGCCAAGAGACACAGGGGTCTGAGAACACTATCTAGTTTTATCTTCACTGACACATCAAAAGGCCTCTGGAAATTGGGCTAAAGCCATGAAACACATTTCACCTAGATGTTTTCATAGCTGCATGCTGACAAGCCTTCTAGCTCAGTCTGTCGTCTATACAGAGAGTTTTGTACAATTTAACTACTAAGCTGCATACAAAAACTGTAATCTGACTTAAATGCAACACTCTTTTTTGGCCCAAATATAAGAGCATAAGTGCTTTCAAGTTCATTTTAACCTTCTATCCAATTGACAAAGCCATCTTCAGTTCTAAGCCTCATCTAGCAAGACCTGTACTGTCCTATCTCAGAAATCAATTGCAAATTTATGCCTGCTGAAAGCCTTTTTGACAGCTATTTTGGAAAGTGTAGATTCCAATGTTTCTCTCCAGTCTTGAAGTGAGCAACTTTATCTGCCCCCAAAAGTTTTTCCTTTGGTTCCTCCATTTTAACATCTCATTGCTGCTGGATTTGGCAGTATCTTTGTGTAATTTTTTAARTTTACATGACATTGTCTTGTGTCACTAGATCACCATGATCAGTCTCGTGAAGTTGTTATAGAATGTTTTCAAATTGCAGAGTAGTCTGCATATAAGCTTGAGTACATAGTTTTTGGCCCTCTTAAAAATAAGGATAAAGTTAGGATATAATACTTAAGCTAACAKAAGAAGTCACTCAGTTTCAAAACACATCCAGCACGTTAATTAAATGCAAGAAGTACCCTACCAGTACTGAACAGGAACAGCACCCCAGTAAGACAGACACCAAGGAAAGAGAAGTTTGCAGGAGAGACAGCCTTACCTGAAGCACTTGAGGATAATCAAAGACTTGATTCTTGTAGCAGCGTTTGCGAACAGCAGGGACACCATCTGACAGGTTTGTACATTTGTCCAGGATCAGCACTGATTCCCCATTCTCAGCCTGAAGAGCTTCCAACTCCAAGCGGTATTCTGGGTGCAGAGCCATTTGAGATGACAGAATGAAATACCTGCGAGGACTGAAAAAACACAGACAGGTTACCTGACAGCACTGCAAGCTGACTTCCAAGATGCTCAAGAACACTTTCCTTTCATCCTAAAAAAGCAGAGCAAGATTAACTAAATGTGGACATGCTGTCAAGACTATTTTTGGACAAGGCTGGAAAGCATAATGATGAAATGTAATTAAGTCTGGGATACTAATTGGCCCAACATTATTTACAATTCTGAACAAATTTGTACTTCATAAGAGTGCTTATTACATTAGAATAGGCACTTGCATTACAACTTCTATTATAAACTTAAATAAACATCATTTAGCTACATTTTACAACAGCCTGCTGCTGATGCCAGGATTGTTAGTACTTTTGATTAGTGTCTGTGTACTAAAAGAAAGTAGATAGGACACTGAGTGCTGCTTCTAGTTTYTCCTCCCATATATGTTCTCATGAATTTTAATTGGAAAAGATGCAGAACTGACAACTCAGTATTTAGCTTATTTTAGTCTTGATATGGTGACAGTAGCAATAGAACAGGCTCATCATTTTTAACTGTGATTTAGTTCTGTCCCTTTGGGGCAATAAAAATGCAATAKTTCCATGGAAAAGTTGAAGGTCCATATAGTATGTTATCCCATACACTCTCAACTACTACCATGTTCCAAAATCATGAATATTTAAAATGTGCAGAACATTTTAAACACTGAAGTGTTTAAAACCACTAATTAACACTGGAGGTAAACCACGCAGGCTCAAATTAAGTGCTTGCTGCTTAAAAARGTTATACTAATACTGGAAAATAGCATGTCATACAATTGTTACACTCATCTACTTGGGTTTCCTTTTACAACAGGTCAGCTAAAGTCAGACTGTTCCACCACTCCCCATTGAAAGGAACAAACACACAGTGAGTGAGTGCCMTCATGCTGCCAAAAGAACACAGGAAGCACAAGGCCTGCACTTCAGATTCCAGTTCTACTCCATGTGATGCTATCTTTAATTTACAGCTCTGAAAACATACAAACACACACACTTTATAAAGTCAGACCCCTCCTGCTGCTCTTCTCACCTCTTCTACTCATTTTCATGCTGGCCACTTTAGTTGCTCCAATTAACAGATGCATAGTATTTTTTTAAACATTCTTTCTCACAAGTCTCCAGCTGCTACCAACTTGCTACCAGCAGAAGTGGATTTTAAGCAATCCAATTAAAAAGGCAAGTAAATCAAACTCCCTCAGCTCAGCTCTGTAAGAGGCCTTAAAAAAAGGAAATAATGATGCAGATGAGTGATAATAAATACACATAACCAGCTAAAAAATAGGTTTGTTTATGTATATATTTAAAACCAAATTTTGCCTTGAAACCGTCATCATTCTATGATACTCAAAATCTAGCTATCAAACATTGCTACAAAAGAAAGAACACACCATTTCCCAAGAAATAACACTAACGTAGGGTAATGCAAAGGTTTATGCCAAGCAAGCCTGGATGCTGGTTGTGTGTCCCCGTCCCGCCCCTCCTACACAAAGCAGTCAAGGCTGGGAATGCATCTCACTAGTAACGCTGACTGGCCACTGGATGGCACTCCGGACACCTGGCTGCCCGACACCATTTAAAAACAAMCAAAAAAAAAGCAGTTTTGAGAAACGAAATCTCCAACATTTTAATTGAACACAAGACCTATTTCTCTTATCCGACCCAAAATCAGACACAGAGTTTAGCTGACAACACGGACAATATGACTGCATCTCTCTTTACAACTGGTTCTATACATGCTGAAGCCTATGAGCACATTTATGCTCTCCAGACAGAAATACAAAGCATGCTTTCACTGTGTCAGAATGTAGCAACACTCGAGACGTATGAAGAATCAGCTGGGATGCAACCAGATGCCATTTGCTGGTCCAGGGGCAGCACAAGCAGGGACACAGAGGGTGTGAGCAAAATAAACCAGGGCTGCACAAGTTTGTCTTAATTGTCTGTATTATCTTACTTGGAGCAGCCAAGGGCAACAGCAGGTGCTCTGACCTTACTAGAAAATTCGACAATTGAATCTGAAGATCAATAACTTTTGTCCAAGAGAGGCTGCACCACTTCAATCACAGTTTTCAACTTTGAAAATTCATACTCTCCACAGAATGCTGTCAGAAGCAAAGGACTTAAATTCCTACATTTGTAAACTCGATCTTCACAATGAGCAGACACATCATTGATCCCCATTGCCTCTGTCTGCCCATCTTTTAAACCTAAGAGAGGTAAGACCTTGTTGCAGTGAAGCCTTTTCAGCTGTGTAAATAAAAGATTTATGAAATATGAAAAGAACAGCCTTCCATAACCAGTTAAAACATRTCTTCCAGACTCCTATCTACTCTTGTTATGAAGATATAAATGGATTAGAGAAACCACCATTTTCCAGAGTAGCTTATTTCAATATCTAACTACATTCTCCAATAAATTTAGTGCTTTATTTCCAGACTGTCTTGCTTTACTTCCAGCTACAAGGTTCAGGGAGGGGAGGGTTGTGCTGTTTGTGTTTATGTCTTACTCCATTACTTTAAAAAAAAGAAACAAATAAGATCAATATTCTAAGCTCTGGATGTATGTATTCCCATAATCATACATACAAGTTTTCATTCTTCTTTTTCATGAGCTTAATGACAGGTCAGGTGCAAATGGTAGGTGCAGTTTTGGGCACCASAATGTAAGAAAAGTATAAGGCAGTTGGCAACTGAATCAAGACCATCAGCATTGGAACCATTAGCATTGAAAGCATCCTCTATTTTAATAGCAAGAGCTGTTAAAAACAACTCTTAAAAAATGGCCCAAGCTCACCATAAAGTCTGTAGCTGTATTTATATTTTATAGCCACCAATACTAAACATGATACTGAATATACTTTGCCCAGTTCTTGGGAATTACTTTACCCTGGTCCTCTTTCTGGCAGATCTACTTCTCCTGACAGTGKGCTGTAAACAGGAATACTGACATCRTAGCCTTGCCGGTAAGTCCAAGTGGAGAAGCCTCCACCAGCCAACAGAGCCCTGGAAAATACAAGAAAATAACTTTAAAAAGAGAATGTATAACATTCAAACTCCAGCAATTTACTGCTWGTCATTACTACAACAAGAAGATGCATGCTCTGAGGTAAGTTTTTCCCTGAATTAAGTTTTTCCCTCAGCTTTTGTCAGTGGCACGTTTTCATGCTGGTTTTAGRTTCACTTTAGATTTCATGATCTGAGTTTACTGCTAAATTTGGATCTAGTTACCAACAGAGTGATAATTTTGCAATTTGCAAGCTTATATATCCTAAGACAATTTAAATTTGAAGAAATACATTCTGAATTATTGATATAGTTAAGATATTCATTGATGCCTGTACTAAAATAGGGTATAGCACAACTTTCACAGTGTTAGAAACAAGCTGCATTTCAGATATAAATCACAGTACAATAATACATTGTTTAGCATCTGACAGTGACTCTGGACTTCTCAGGCTGGAAAAATAAAACAAAGTTATTTGCAACTGTATTTTCAAAGTTAATCATGCAAGCTAGTGAAATTTGTTTAATTTTTATACTACACAAAAATTCTATAAACAGAAAACAYGACAACAAGAAATCTGCATGTTACAGCACTAAGTTCCAGCAGAAGAGGTTGCTTGGGACACTATGTGCTAGACRGCATGGGAATAATCAAGGACTGATAAATTAAAATGCAATTCAACCTTCCARCAGGATGTTCACTGTGCCTTTTCCTAGATGGGATAACCACACAGCAGTGCTTTAAGAAAAAGAGAACAATGTGCACAGAAGAAAACAGTATGTCATATACAATTCCAGAAAAAAAGAGGTTTGTTACTATCTCCTATCACAAATATTCTTTGAAATATGCTATTAGAGGACAACAATTTTTCCRTTGCCATTTCATGTCCAGTGACCAAGTGGCATCAGGAACCCATCATCCTAGTTCCAAAAGAAGCTCAGATTCCACTTCTTTTGTGAGACTTCTCAAACAGTTGATCAAACTTTCAGTCCTTTGTCACTCAACAGAAGGGCGTGCTACACTTTTAGCTGCCCCTGGGACACTGGGTCTGCTTCAGGTACCATACAAAGTAGTCTGGAGAAAAATATTTCTCAATTCCAGTTTGTCTCCTTCTCTACAGTAAGAAGCAGAACATGAAAACACCACTAGACCATGCACTAGAGAAAGCATCCTGAGGAGTTGTRTCCATTGTTGCAGTTATGATTACAGTRGRAAGCCTTACTGTCACAGTTAAGATCAGAGCAGGCACAGGTCTCATCAGTAATCAGAACACACACAGGAACAAAAAGTCAACATGAGACTGGAAAAGGCACCAACAGTCCACCAGCTGACACTCTTGGTTTCAGATATCACTGAATGAAATCCTGGGTACAGTGTTTGGAGAAGCAGTTTYTCCACAAATGTTAGACAATAGATTATCATTATACCTAATTATCACCCAAGATTTTTCCCATCAGAACACCATGCCTGCTCTGCCTSCTCTATTCCTCATCAGATGTCCCACAGGATACTTCACTTCCTTCTCTGACCTGCAGCACAATCACTCAATGTTAAAACAGGATCACACTTTGCCATAAATGTGATTCTTCATTCAGAACACAAATTATGATAGAGCAAAAATCAGCTTTAGAAGAGGATTATAAATTCAGTATATGCTGAGTTTAGAATTGATGTTCCAAATCAAGTGATCACATGATTTTTAATTCCATTCCAGAGTCCCCCCACCCCTCTGCTTTTGGTGACACATACAATGCTGCTATGACTAGGTCTCACCCTAGAAGCTGCCTGTTCCATGACTTACCCATATTAATACAGTTACAAGAAGGGAGAAAAAAATTGGCTTGGGTGTTATGTTCTTGCACTTTATATCTCCCTTCTCTTTTTTACACTCCTACCCCCCAACTGGGAAACCAGAACCAGATTATTTTAATAGGATGCAGTGAAAACACTACARCACCTCATCAGCCTTGAGAAAGCAGGTGTGTGTCGTGTAAACTTCTACCTAAACAAACCCACAGGGAACCAATACCAGCTAAGTAATTCCACTCAGATTTTCATTGTACAGTGCAAGGGAGTAGGAATATTAACTCCTAATATACTCAAGACAAATAAACTTTAAATTGCACTGATCAGCAAGGAATGATTGTCCCTAAGCAACTTTTCACCACTTTTCAAATATTGATCCTTCTTTCTCTCCATGAAATGCCCCAACTGGCCTGTACTCTAAATGTTTCTGTCCAGCTGCCATCAGCAGCAGCTTTCTGCCAGACTTCACAGGTCACTGAAACTCACTTCATGGACTGCAACATAAATAAACAAAAAGTATCTTAGGTCATACATTCAATCCTACAGATACAGATTAGATTTGCAGAAGAAACCCTTTCACCTCATTATTKTACCAAATTCAACAGCACTAACTGACAGATAATATAGAGCTTATCTTGTAAATTTTATGGCAGGAGATTACATAAATTATGGAAGCTATCACCAGCAACATAACCTCCATGCCCACAAGGCAAACTTCTGAAATTATGGAATAAATCACTTTTACACTGTCTTTGGAAATGGGATTCAARGATTTAATAAACAAACAAACAATCCCTTAGTGAAGCATCTTAGCTAAGAAATTTTCCAGATGTAAAATTATTATATAACTGAACTCCCCTCTGTGTATAGGTCTTATTTTACCTGAATTAATATTCTCCAGCAAAGAAATAGCATTCTATTATAACTCATGATCCACTKCAGTTCTGCTGCGTATGATCTCTAAGATATGCTGACTGTAGAAGGCAGGCCATACTTCCTGTGCAAACTTCACAGATATTACCTGTGTATTTCACAAGTGATCCACAAACTCCCACAAAAGCTGTCTTTCTGGAGTTATCATGACACAGCTCAGACAAGTCATTCAAAACCAACTGAACTCTGCCAACCTGCCTTTTTTTTGGCCATCAGCCTCTCACCCTATGATACTACAAACAACTGTCTTTYACACTTGGTCAACTACCCATTCCTAACACCTGTAGACATTCTCAAATTAAGAAAACACACTCAGGTCGCTTGTTCTGTTAGACATGAGTTAGGAAATCCAGACCTCACCAAAAATCATACTGACAGCTCACACTGCATCCCTCAGACCTCTCCAGGACTAGGTCTGCGCTCCTGACTTCTTTCACAGGCCCCTTGTGTTCACACCTGTGACCTGCAGAACGGGTTCTGTACATCAAACAGTCCAACTGTTGGCTGCCTAAAAAAAGGCATTTCCACTTTTTGCTGTCCCAAGCACTGTTGTTACCTCTCTTATGGATTACAGCTTGTGATCATACAGCTTTGGGGTGAGTCAGATTGGCAAACTACAATGGCTGAATGCCAAAAAAGACTTTCRTTTTTTACTTAAACTACTCAGTTTTCCATGTTAGCATGACAAACACTTAGGAGAAACACCTACCAAAATAATATTTCTTGCCTGTTAAGCCAAGGCACATAAGGCCAAATATAAATGGAGATTTGAGACTAAAAAGTAAAAATAAAAAGTTCTGTAGCATATCTACTACATTCAGTTAATAAATTCACTTCTTTGATGACACATGCAGTCCATTCCACTGTCAAATGAAAACTCTYCTTTAATATAAATCTAAGATAAAAAATTCAAATATTTACTAACAGATTAAAATGCTTGTTTACATGAGACTGATGCTTGACTGCCCTCTCCAGGCTAACCCACATACAGAGAAGTTAAAAAACTAAAGCCTTACTTCACAGTGATGTAATTACAACAAACAAACTTACTCTTTAAACACATGCAGAAAAAAAATGTGTTTTGCTCTGGTACTGCAGAACATTTTAAATTGTCTTTGCTGCAAAGAAATCAAGATACACTCCACAGACAATCATATTAGCAAAGATCCCACATCTCAGGCAAGATTTTGTGAACATTCCGCAGAAGAAAGTTAACTTTGACTTTCACGAGAAGCACTGGTTACAAAGGACCTATTTCAGTGAAACAAAGCAAACCCAGGCTGATGCATTAGAAACACATTTAGTAACAGTATCTAAGCTAAATAATTTTGCCTTCCTCTTATTCCAAGTTTCTTTTCCTTATAACCTCCTTTCCTCTTCCAAAGTAAACTATTCTGAAAGTGAATAGTGTGCTCAGAAAATGAAAATTGTGCTCAGAATGAATGTCTTTTGAGTTCCTGGCAAATATTTTCAAAGCACATTTGCCAGAGAATAACTCAGAGCATTTATCCAATTACTAATACAGACTAATTATTAAGTTAACAAAAATTATTGAAATTCACTATAGTTTTGTCAAGCAGAGCAGCTGCTTTAAAATCCCTTGAAGCACCTGACTTCTATCAGAAAGCTGCTGCTACAATCATCTTTGAACTTCTAATTTGCATCAAAGGGGACATTCTGTAAAGCATTTATATTCAGTTAAACACCAGATCAAGATTTTCTAACCTTACAGCAAGTCCAAGAAATAAAAGCAAACTGTCAGCCACGTCCCTTGTAAAATTAAAGATGGCGTTAAACTATCAGATTTCAAAAGTAAACACCTCTTCTATACAAGGCAGAAACTTCTGTACTTTCCTTTTTTTGAGAAGCAAGGAGGTCATATTCCAGCTCTGTAAAGGTTAAGGAGCACATCCTTTGCTAYCAATTGCCCTTCTGTGGTTGTTGCTTCTTCAGCAGCATTTAAACCCAGATGTGTACATCACACAGCACAACACATACCTATCTCTAGGAACATCCAGGGCAGTGTTATAATCTGGTGGCCCTCCAGGCAGCATATTGAAGAGTAGGTGATTTGTGCCTCGATCCCACCTATGGCAAGAGAAGAAACAAACTTCAAYTAGAAAGGTGTTCTCTACATATAGACAAGTTTTGTCAAACCCTAGTGCTGGCATTAACTCACTGCATTCTCCTCGCATGCATTAACCTTACTTTTTTCCATTTCGTGTTCTTTACACTCACACACTGAAGTTTCAGCACATACCTGGACAACTGTGCCAAAGCCTGAGCTGTTTCTTTGATACGGAGCGCGTTCTGATTGAGGACATCTATGGATGGCACAAAAAGGCAGGCYCGGTTGACATCATCAGTGTAGAACTCACTGTCAGAGATGGCTGTCAGCAGCTCATTGTATTCCCTGGAAATGGTGTTGCTCACTGACGTCCCATATTCATCCACATACTTTTTCAGTGAATAGATGTACACTTTGATTTTGTTCTTGGGATTGAAGCCACATCTATAGACATCAAAGCAGGTGTGCATCCTGCAGCTGAGGTCTCCCCGCTCAGGAATGGGGCTATCAGCAGGAAGCTTGACCACTGGCACATCGTGGATGCTGCGTTTTTCAACGGTCCAGTCATTGGATGACTCAATTGAGTGAGGCCAGAACTGGAACATTCCTGTGGCAATTAGGCCAAGCAGAACTATGGAAAAGAGAGTGATGTAATAGATGCGATGCTTGGTTTTCATCCTTGGGATGAGGGCTGGACCCCGGGTGTTATATTTGGCCGAGGCACACATAATGRAATCAATTATCTCTTGTYRCTACAAAASAGARAGARAGGTTTTAGGATGAACTCTAGAAGAGATACATAGTTATCACAATGCAGAGAAACATCCAGCTATTCTTTTCATGAAAGGTTCTTTGCCTCAGCAGACTGCAGTAGGCTTCCTTCAGAAGCTCACATGTCCCACTGGAGCGAGGGTGCCAACCAGGACTGCCACTTGGCAAGCACCAATGGAGGCTGACCTGCTGGGCCTGGCTGTAAGGAAATGATGTGGGCCAGTTAACAACCACATGCCAGAAAAAGGCACAGCCTGGGCAGCGAGAGCAGGAGGGAATCTCAGACACTGCAGAAGTGAGGCCTCACAGGTTCCACTCCACCTATAATGAAATGTCTTCATGAAAATTGCTAATAAAAACCTGCATACCTGCAAAGGTATCACACAGGGCATCACACAAAACTTAAAACCATGATACTACTCCTAAGGTAAAGGTGATTTAAACTGGATTTCATAGGAGCCCCACCTTATCTGGTTTGTTTGGTAGTTTACCAAACTACTTCTGGTAAGAAAAAGGAATTAATTTGTCATCTTTGTCAATGTAACCTTCGGGGCATAAAAGTGTTCTACAGGCTGCCACTACAGCCACATTAAGAAAAGCATTTCAATAGTTCACCAGAGCCAGAACTGCAGTATTAATGAAAAACATGATGCAATATAAAGTATCACAAACCAGTGTCATCTTTGATATTTCTTACAAGTTCCTACACACAGAGATGTGGCTCCTGCAAAATACCATTTACATGAACTACAGACTGAAAAACAGGCAAGCAACAACTTGCTTAGGTTTTCAACTAAAACTTTCATAATAAATAAATTCAACCCGAGATCTCCATAGTGAGAGTTTTGTAAAAGTATGTGTTCCAGAAAAAGAATGTGAACAGCGTAATTATGTGTTTTTCTTTTGGGCAAATGGGAAACTTTTGTGAGCTAGAAAGAAAGTCTGACAAGTCAATTGTCCAGCAGACAATAAATATGAATTAAAGAAGTACCAATGAATAAACGATGCATTGATTTCATTATTAATCAAATGGTCTTTCRAACAAATTGAGTTATGTTTATTTGGTGTTCTTAACAAAAGATGGTTAGGATGGGGTGGCTAATGCATGACTTGATTGTACTTACACACAGTAGCACTAAAAYAATCTCAGATGCTAATAAACATTCCACTTTTAACGGCTCTTCTCATCACTTTACGTCCACATTATGATTCTGAAGGAAGCTTCTAAATTCTCTTGTACAAGGCAATACACGGGTGACGCTGTTATCAGGACAAAAGCCAGAATACTACATTACTATCAGCTTTACAACTAAAAACTTTCCACATGCTTCCGGCTGTTAACCAAGCCCGTCATTCCTCCTTCCGGACACAGCACCAGAACCACCTGTGTGTTGACACAGGTCGCAGTCTGCAGCGAGCTTTTCAGTCACTCAGTGAATCTGTCCTGACCTGAGCCCGGACGGAAGAACCCTCAATGAAAGGTACCTCCTSCATCCATGGGAACGTTCTCTCTTTCACAGCACACAATCCGCTTGGCCAACTGTAGGCATTGGACAAGGTGAACTGGCACTTGGAGTAACGGCAACAAGACACAGCAGACAGACAGACAGACAGGTGCAAACACCATTACGGGACGCAAGGGCCGAGGCACGGGCCGGGCCGGGCCCAGGCATTCCGGAACCCGGCCGGCAGGAGCCGGGCCGCCGCCCCGCCRCGGCTCGCTCAGCTCCCGCTCTCCCGCCCACACAGCGGGACCGGGCGAGCCGCCCCCGCCGCCCGCACTCACTCATTCACTCACCTCCGCCCGCAGTCGCCGGGGCCGCCCGGCTGTACCCCGGCTGTACCCCGGCTGTACCCCGGCCGCTTCGAGCGGAGCCCGCCCGCACCGCCGCCCCCGGCACGGCCCGGAACGGCACAGCCGGTGCGCATGCGCGGCTGCCAGCACCGGCCCCTCAGCGCCCCCGCGCGGCGGGAGGGCGGGCGCGGAGCGCTGCCGGGACGGACTGACGGACAGACAGACAGACGGACAGAGGGACGGACAGACGGAGGGACGGACAGATGCTTCTCCGTCAGAACGGGCACCGAGACCTTGTCAGTGTTCGTCTGGGTGTGCCAAATTCGTACCCATGAACCGCCACCCAGCCAAGGTGGGCTTTCTCATTGACCGTCTTGGACTTTCTCATTGACCAAGCGCCTTTGGGTCATGTGCCGCTTTCTGCTGCGTCACACTGCTCAAATAAGAAAACATCCCAAATCTGCACCTTCCCCAAACCTTTCTCAAAAATAACGGGAAACAATGTCTCTTTCAACAGAAGATGAGGAGGACCAATTTGTTGCACAAAACTCCAGCCATGTGGGAATCACGGACACTGGTTTCATTCCCACAGTGGGAGCAGACTTGGTCTGTAGGCAAAAAAAAAAAAAAAAAAAAAAAAAAAAAAAACCAAACAGAAAAACCCCAAACAATCAAAAAACAAACAAAACAACAAATATCAAAGCAAAATACACTCAAGTAGGTAAGATCAGGAAATGGTTTGAGTTGAAAAAGACCATCTTTAAAATCGTCTACTTCCAACCTTTTTTCCACAGGCAGTGACACATCCCACTGGACCAGGTTGCATGAAGCCCCTGCAACCTGGCTTTGAATATTTCCRGGGATGGTGCATTCCCATCTTCTCTGGGCCACCTGTGCCTCACCACCCTCACAGTGAAATTTTTTTTCCTAATATCTGTTYTAAACCTACCTACTCTCTTTCAGTTTAAAGCCTTTCACTCATATCCTATCACTACATGCCTTTTTACAAAGTCCCTCTCCAGCTTTCTTGTAAACTCCCTTCAGGCTGCTCTAAGGTCTCCCCAGAGCCTTCTCTTCTCCGGACTGAACAATCCCAATTCACTCAGCCTGTCTTCATAGCAGAAGTTGRTGCTATGAAGATTGCACAGGGCAATGGCACAGTAGCAGAGTGGTGTCCCAGATGTGGAACCATGGCCTTTATCTGGAACAGCAGACCCTAACTATAGTCACTGCCACCGAGGTGGAAACAGGGCTGACTTTGTATCCTTCACCTGTAAACAGTTTTCAACTGTTAGAACTGTAACTGTTTCAACTGTTACAGTTTAAATAATAATCAACAATTAGATACTGCCACAAAAAGTTCTCCAGCTACAAGCCCTTCGACCACCTGATCTCAGGGCCAGAAGCATTTCCAGTCTCTCTGCTCYCTGGGATGCAAGGTAAGCCAGCTCTTCTTCTATCTTGTAATCCTTGGTGGTTAAGAGTTTTACCATCTGTCTCTCATAGTGTCATCTTTTGCTGGCTTGAAATGCAATTTTCCCCTCATCAATTGTTCTTGTAGCCATTTTTACATATTTGTRTGTTATGTACAATGGTGATGTGTCGCTGTACTGTCCTGTAATGTGTTTCTGAAAGGATGGGGGMTTGCACCTATCCCTGGTCTAAGCCTCTAAATTGAATCTCTCTCTCTCTCTGTCACACACACACAGAGTACAGTGTCCTTAAACAGTCTTGACTGTCAGCAAAAGATTAATTCTCTTTCACTTCACCCGCCCTTGGGAAAACGGCTTTTTGCAAAGCCATCCACATGCACGCACAGAGACAGCTCGGCACTCCCACAAGAGAGGCAGAACGCTGTCACTGCAGYGCTTCCTCTCCTTTCTTTCAACCTCTCCTCACACACGTGGCTCGGCAGGTGATGTAGCATTCTCCTCAGACTCACTGCTGCCTTCTTCATCTTGACTGTGACATTCAAAGCCAGCAACAGATAGCACTCGTAGATCTTAAATATCTTTCTGAGCCCTGGTACTGTTTTTTTCCTTTGCCTCTGCCTTGTTTCTCCTCACAAGCACAAGCAACCGAGGTTTATTAGAACACATAATGTTCTGGGCTTAACCCATCGAATTCAAGTTGCTGCAAGCTGCCCCATTCATAAATCAGAGGCAGGAATTCTCCTTCAGGAGGATGGCTGGACCGTGTCTGGTTTTTGTGAATTGGAAGGGGCGCCATTCACGTGTTCGAGCCGCTGGGATGAGCACGGACTCTCTGCAGTTTTGGGATGCAGCAGCAKGAGCCGTGGCTGGATGTGCCTGAGCCAGGGAGGGGGTTCCCATCCCTGTGGCGTGACGGGGACAYTGGCTGGTCCACGTGCGAAGGGAGGAGGAGTGGGGGGCACGGAGCGCAGCCTGCAGTGCCCGCAGGCGCTTCCTCTGCCTCCCTGCTCTGCCAGGAGAAGAAAGTGCATCCAATCAATTGTGGCTGAAATATTCATGGAGACTTGATGATCCCTTCATCCCTGTAGGAAAATTTRGAAATCAGTGCAATTTCATTAAAAGCCAGTATTAAACAAATGCAAGAGGCATCGGCTATTTTATTTCAAAATACAGCMAGAAAAAATGGAGGATGTAGTCTGTTTTGATAAAGATTTCCCTGCAACCACATCAGGGAGCCTGTTTATATTCTACTGATGCAGCTAAGCCAGACAAGTCTGCGGCAGAGCACCTATTTTTAGACTCCGGCTTGCCATTTATAGCTTGTGAAAATATTCATCAGCATCTGGATAACAGGCTATCAATTTTTATAAATGCACAGGATAAATCAGACATATCACTTCTCTTTGCTTTGCCCTTTTATGTCCTGCCTTATATGGCTCTGTGGGGGTCATTTGGAATTTGTTTTTAAAGGATTTACCATCACACCATATATTTGTCTGCTGTCACATATGGCATCCTGCATTTTCTGCTGGGATGATCGGTGTAGGGAAGAGAAAACCTTTTGCCAGCTACTGTGTCTACATGTCTGAAAGCTACATGTAAAGAAGATATATCTGAGATTATGGTGCACCTTATGCAGCCAGTGAAGGAAGCAGCACATTCTGAAAACACCTTTGTAATAAAAGGAAGTRATTTCAAAAGGCAAATGTGAAGAGGAAATCTAATGGTTTGAGGACATTCTTTCTACCT